GGGGGGGAAGTGCATAGAATAGGGGAGAAATAAAGTAGTAAAACATTTTTGTGAGAATCAGAATGATGTGCACGTACGTGTGCTTTTTGATGCCATGTCACAGTTTGCTGAGATGATTGAGCATAATCTTGACAAATTTTCTCTCACTTTCTATTTTTGGGCGAGCGTTTGTGTTTACGCGCATGTTGTGGGTTCGTGTGCATGCGATTGCGCACAAAGTGATTACGTCCAATGCTGCCAGTCCAAGTATTTGAAAGCATGCGCATCACCAGATCGGAAAGAGGTAGCAGGTTATGATATTCCTTGCCCAAGAACGATATATGTAATGTTAAAATGTACGCAGTACTTTACATGTGGGTTTTCCCTTCTCGATAGTACTGAGTCCTCTCCACTGTCGGATATTTGGACACAAAGGATAAGGGGAGGAGAGGAGGAGGGGAGGAGGGGAGGATTAAAAAGGAACACCAAATTGTAAGGGGAAAAGGCTGTGCAGAATCAGAGAAGGCGAACAGGAATCAGTTATACTTTGTATTGTGTCCAAAATCCACTTAGAGAGGACTGAGAGAAAACACATAGCTATAACTGTGAAATTTCTGAAAAGCAATCATGTATGAAAAGAGAAAACTATAAATTCAAATTTTAAGAAAATGGTACTCACAACAAACATGGGTCCTCATGACGATTGGGTCATTGAATGGGCAAAATGCGTTCTATAATCCACTAACTGCTCTACTCACTCCCTCTGTAACGGAAATCCCTTTCCTCTTCAGACCCTCCCGTTTACCAAATATTTTCACTCTTTGTTCAAAATCGTATCTGACCTAGATTTCCCCCATTTCCTCTTACCTGAGCCTTTACGCCAGGTTCACCATGGGTGATGACGCGCTTGCTTCCTGCTTCCTCTGCTACTCCGAAATGCACTGACGTGTGAGTAGATTGGCAAAACTATCCATGCGCACGTGCGTCTCCGTGAGTCGACCAATACGAGCGAATGCACATCTAGAGTAGACAAACCCGCAGAGAGCAGACGAGGTCAGTGTAGCTCATGCTTCGTAGACATCAGTAATCCATATCAGAAGTGATGTTCGTTTACGCGGAATCTGGAGGGTTAATATAAATTTATCATCCCTTCAATTGATTTTCGGCTGTCGCATGAAATTAAAGTAATAAATTTTGTGTAATCTACAGCTTTCACTTGAAAGAAAATATATGAGTGCAATAACATCACACCAAAAAATAAAATTATCTTTTTTACTTTTATTTTTTAAAGGAGCAGAAAAATGGCCGTGCTCAGACCCAGAGCGGTATCATAGCTTGTTCGATTAACCCACACTGTCACGACCGGTCAACTGCAGCTGACAGATCCAATTTTGAAAAGAACCCATATTGGTATTTGTAAAAGTACCGAAAGCACAGAAAAGTCTAAGTAGATCTTACATCTTATACTAAAAGCAATGAATTCACTAGGTTTGAGTTGTTTCTTAATTAATATATCACAGCAAATTATTTCAGTTCTCTGTTTCTGAAGAGAACTAATTGTTTTCTTGTTTTGCTTTAGTCTGAGTGCTTGAGTGTAGCTTTGTGTTTAATCTTCAGCAGTGACATCACTCAACAACAGTGGTTTCGAAGCTCTGCGTGTACTTTATAAACTGTCTGTAATGTTTCCTTCTCATCCCGATGCAACATCCAGATCTACAACGACTTTAAAGTAAATATGCAGTAAACATATTTTCGCTCTTGAAACTTCCTCTCCTGGATCTAAAGACTTTCCAGTACATTTAAACTTGAAAGTTCATGGGGGTTTTTATTCCCATGATTTCTAATTGCTGAACCAGTCAATCTACCGCTGGTCACTACAAAATTGCTCACCTACTTTTTTACATGACTTGTGAATAATTATAAAAATAATTATGTTTTATCACAATTGGTTTCATTATTTTCGAAACAGGTGATTATTTAGAAAGATGACCTCACAAGCAAGAGTTCAACGACCTTATTCTTTATCTCGTGCCACAGGATTTCCGACCAAGTTCTGACGTACTGAAGGCAGATTTTGGAGTAAGAGAGAAAAATAATGCAGGGTTCACATATCTACATGTTAGGGACAACTTGAAAAAGAGAGAGAAAGAGAGAGAGAGAGAGAGAGAGAGAGAGAGAGAGAGAGAGAGAGAATAGAAAAGAGAGGAAGAGAGTGTGTAGAGGGGGGGGGGGGATAAAGAGGAAAGTAGTGGCAGGGGGAAGGAGAAAACAAGGAAGAATGAGAGGGAAAGGGGTGAGCGAGAAAACAGCTCGGGGTCAGGGAATACAGAGTAAAGGGGATGGGGAAAGAGATAGAGAGAAAAAGAATGAGAGAGAGAGAGAGAGAGAGAGAGAGAGAGAGAGAGAGAGAGAGAGAGAATGAGAGGGAGACTGAGACAGAGAAAGCGAGTTGGAGGGAGAGAAAGTGAGAGAGGGAAAAGTAAGGAAGATTTGGAGATCCACAACGGTGAACTCCAATACAGAAGCAAAACTTAAACAGGTGAGTTATGATTTCTGCCTGGTTGTCAGAAAGAAAGTAAACGACCACACGTTTGTGCTCGTGTGCCTGTGTGTGTGCTTATATGATATACATGTGTGTGTGTGTATATATATGTTTGTGTGTATGTGTGTTTGTGTGTATGTGTGCGTGTGTGTGTGTGTGTGTGTGTGTGTGTGTGTGTGTGTGTGTGTGTGTGTGCGTGTGTGTGTGTGTGTGTGTGTGTGTTTACCACCCACTGTGTTGCGATTTTGTTACGATCTGATCACCCTTTCAACTTAACCTTTTAAGGGTAGAAGTTAGATTGACTTTCTATTTCTTCAAATAGCTATAGCACAAATCTTTGTTATGTCAATAAATTCCACAGCGAGGCAACAGCAACACCTTTGCACTCTTCGAAGAAAAAGTAAAAACACTGGCCACACAATATTATTGTGGCATAATGACTTATAATAATAAAGCAGACTGACTCCCTGCGCTTGGTCCAGATACTGAAGGAGAATCAATAACGAGTCCCTCGCAGTCCATGTAAAAGTTTACACAAGTTTTTGTTTGCACTTGTTGCGGAACCAGGTTATGTCGCAGAAACTTTTGCTGCTCACACTTCCAACGTACCCCGGTACGCGTTACACACGTCGAAATCACTAAGCACTCACGTAAATATACACGCAGATTTTGTCGTTACAACATCCTCTTATTTCAAACACACTTCCTGCAGTTTTTCATATTAATGACTCATCCACCAGTACCTGAAGCCCGTACCTTACCTGGTCCAAGACACGATTTACTTTCGGCGATCACAGAAAAACGTAGGCTGCAACAGCCTCACTACTATGTCGCTCGAGGCTGCCCAATGTTTTGAGAATTTTTCTTCTTCTCTTTCTCCCCCTACTCTTCTGTTGCACCTAGAAGTTTTCTCAGTCCGCCGTGCGTACGTGCAATGCTGTATTCCCCTCCCTGCCCCACTCCTTCTCTCACTCACTTGGTGGAGTCTGCCTGCGCGTGCGGGACGAGTGAGTGAGTGAGTGAGTCCGCGCGTCCGCGCGTGCGTGTGTACGTGTGCGCTCGTCCCTCCACTGAGCTGAGTGAGTAGTGTACCTCTGCGAGTATTGGGTTATCCGTTATCCTGTAGGAATGTCTTTCGCCGCCCTGCAACAAGTTCACTATTCACCGTTGGGATGGAAACGGGAGAAAAAAAGGGTGGATGTGTGTTTGTGTGTTGGGGGGAAGAGATAGATAGATAGATAGAGAGAGAGAGAGAGAGAGAGAGAGAGAGAGAGAGACAGACAGACAGACAGACAGACAGACAGACAGACAGACAGACAGACAGACAGAGACAGAGAGAGATAGATGTAACTTTTCGACGAGAAGGTGAACCTACACCCTTCTATTTGGCGACATAGCAGTTTTTTCTGGTTGGGCATTTTCGAATTCTTTTGATCTTAAATAAAACTGATACTTTAAAGTAGGATCCGTATCCAATCTTTGCTCACAATTATTATTAATGTGGTCGCCAGAACGCACCTTCCTTGACAATGGAGTGATCATGCTCTTATCAAACACAGCTCTCTCTCTCTCTCTCTCTCTCTCTCTCTCTCTCTCTCTCTCTCTCTCTCTATCTATCTATCTCTCTCTCTCTATCTATCTATCTCTCTCTCTTCACCTTTCTCTTACTACCTCTCTTTCTGTACGTATACAGATGTATTAAACATTTTTTTATGTAAAATAATAATCTCTAAAATTTGCTCTGCTTTTGTGATTGCTTTTTGTTGATTACAAACCAGCTGCTCGCCGCATGCTCCGCTAAAATCCTCTTTCGTATTTACCGCATTATTCACGATTAATCCTTGAGTTTTTAAAATATTGATTCTGTCGTTACAGCTGCAATCCTAGTTCAAATGAGCTCTACCTGATACTTTCAATGGAAAAGGGGGGAAATGATGTGATGGAGTTGACTTGTTTCCTTTTGTAGCAACAGTTGTGGACCGAGGAATGAATTTAATGACCGCGTACGCTCTCAAAGCAAGCTAATATAAGGCGCTAAAGGCGACTAATTGAGCTACGCTCGTATATATATGCAAAAAGTCTCATACATCTGAGGCTTCATTTGTTTTGTCTTAGAGGCCAAATATTGTGCGTATTGTTGGGCTGGGAAAGAATACCCCAAGCCGTGGGAGAACTGGAAATTAGTTGATAATACTAAGATATCACAGTTGATAATACAAAGACTTATGTAATAATTTAACGCAAAAACTCGAACAAGACACACACAAACATACACAAACAAACAAGCGCACGCACACACACACACACACACACATACACACACACACACATACACA